ATATAAGTAACAAATACAAACACTTCTAGCCTCATTCCTAATCTGGAAGAAATAATTTGAGTGTTTAATTATTAGGTATGATGCTAGACATTGCTTTTTAAGCTGGTCTTTATCAAATTCAGAAAGGACTTTTTTTAATTTTTTTTTATTTTTTGTTTTTATTGTGAGAATACCATACAGGGGAGTTACAATTACATGGGCAAGATAACGAGTACATTTCTTATCAAGCATTGTTGCCTCCTCTTTGTTTCCCCTTCCCATCCCTTCCCATACTCCCCTGCTACCCCCATTCCATCCTCCTCCCACCCCCCACCAAAGTTGTAAAGTTCGTTTTTTGACATAACGACTTGTATATCTCATTGTTGCAATGGGTTTACCTGTATCACTATTTAAACAATTTGTTTTTTCCCTTCCCCTCCAAAAATTATACTGACATCAAATACAGTGAAAGCAGGGGTTATACTGTGGGGGAGGGACATACAAAGCAACAAAGAAATAATCTTATGAATGTGTTAGAAACAATCGCATGAAAGAAAAAAAAAACATTTGAATACATATCTTAGGGTTCATTTCCCTAACATCAATTTATCTGACCTTTTCTGCTTCCCGTATACATATACTGGATATTGCAAATAAGGGAAACCATGGGACCTATGTTTCTTTGCACCTGACTTACTTCACTTAATATCATTTTTTCCAAGTCTTTCCATTTCCCAACAAATGGGGCAATGTCATTCTTTCTGATGGAGGCATAGAATTCCATTGTGTATATATAACACATTTTCTTGATCCATTCATCTACTGAGGGGCATCTGGGTTGGTTCCATATCTTAGCTATGGTAAAAATGCTGCAATAAACATAATGGTGCTGGTAGCTTTAGTGTGGAAAAAAATTTTAAGAACTAAAAAAGAATAAAGAAAAAATGAGAGCAACAGGACAGTATATTGGAAAGGAACTTTACAACGTTGGTGAGTGGGGGGATGGGTGGGAGGAGGAGTGTGGGAGGTGGGGAGGGAAGGGATAGTGAGACAACAACCAGGGAAGGGGAAACAATGATTGACAAGTTTGTACAGCATCTTTACAATAAAATTTAAAACAAAAAAGAATGCTGAGTGAACCTGTATCCCTATTTAAACAATTCGTTTTTTTCCCTTGCACTCCCCAAATTATACCAACATTATGTACAGTGAAAACAGGGGTTATACTGTGGGGAAGGGACACACAAACAACAAATAATGACGTGGTACCTTATAAATACGTTAGAAACAATAGCAAGAAAAAAAAACCACTGTGTCCTCATCTTGGGGTTCATTTCACTTAACATCATCTTATCTGACCTTTTCTGCTTGTGCCAGACATATACTAGTGATTGCAAATAAGGGAAACCATAGGACCTAAGTTTCTTTGGGCCTGGCTTACTCACTTAATATAATTTTTCCCAAGTTTTTCCATTTCCTAACTAATGGGGCAATGCCATTCTTTCTGATGGAGGCATAGAATTCCATTATATATATATATATCTCACATTTTCTTGATCCATTCATCTATGAGGGGTATCTAGGTTGGGTCCATATCTTAGCTATGGTAAATCGGTGCTGGTGATCCATTGTGACAATGAAATGTGCAAGATACTATGTTGAAAATGAACCTTACAACTTTGAGGGGGTGGGGGAGAGTGAGAAGTTGGGGAGGTGGGGAGGAAAGCGATGGTAGGGAAAAAAAAGGAGGGGGTGACAATGCTGGATAGGAAATGGACTCATTACCTTGCTCATGTAAACTGTAACCTCTCTGTACATTATCTTTACAATAAAAATATATATTAAAAAATGCTGAAAGGGGTGACATTGATCAAGATATATTGTATTCACTTAAAGATAATAAAAAGGAAGAATCAACTACTTAAAATAATTAACCAAGAATCTAGCTAAATCTGATAAATAGTAAATCTAAAACATCCATAATTAGTACAGTGCTTTGTGGTGGAAGAATGCTTTCAATGAATATGAAAAGTAAAGGAATCCAGAGTTCAGAATGTCTTATGCATGTAATCCTAGCTAATCTGGAAGCTGATATCTGAAGGTCACTTTGCAAAGCCAGCCTGGGTAGGAAAGTCTGTGAGACTCTTGTCTCCAATTAACCATGCAAAAATGCCAGAATTTGAACTGTGGATCAAGTGGTAGAGCACTAACCTTGAGCTAAAAAGCCTAAGCACCTCACCCAGGCAGGGTCTGAATCAAGCCACAAGAGTAGCACAAAAAAAGAAAGGAAGGAAGGAAGGAAAGGAGGGAGGGAGGACGGGAGGGAGGGGAAAAAGAGAAAGAAGGAAAGAAAGAAAGAAAGGAAGAAAGAAAGAAAGAAAGAAAGAAAGAAAGAAGGAAGGAAAGAAGGAAAGGGAGAAAGAAGGAAAGGGAGAAAGAAGGAAGGAAAGGGAAAAAGAAAAAAGAGGAGAGAAAGAAAAGTTGAGCACCTTTTCTAGTTTTTTTTTTCAGTACTGTATTAAAACTTTCCCCAGTACTCAAATGCAAAACCATTTATTCAGATTTGACAAGAAGAGTAGGAAGAATAGGCAAATAAAAGAAATAGAAGACAGGCAGATAGAGTGTAAAAGTAGAATAACAACCATGTAGGGGTGGGAGAATTGGTAGATTCAGGGGATAGCTAAAAATATTTGATTTATTTTGGAGTGATGGACATGTTATCAGATTTATTTTTCTAATGGTTATGCAATTTTGAATATTAAAAATACTTGTTATTGGTGTAGGGGAGATCAGGACACAAACTATCTGATGCTTTATGTTTATTGGCAGGTGCCCAAAGACCTGAGCTATGCCTCTAAACCCCCAAACTTATGTATTTAAAATGGGTACATTTAAAAACATAATGTGAAATATATCTCATGAAACTATTACCTAAAAAGAGGACAAAGGAGTTGAACCTTCCCATGTGGTAGTAGAAGAAAATAAAATTCAAGGACTTGTTCAATGTAATACAGCTGCTTGGAAAGAGAGTATTAAAAAAGAACATCCTTGTGGCTTGTACATGGTGTTAAAAACTGGATCTACTGACTTATATAACAGGGGTTGAAAGACATACCTTAGCAATAAATTGCCATCTGGACACTGGTTGTAGGTTCTGATTGTAGACTGGTTGTAGACACTGATTGTAGCCTCATGCCTACAGTCCTACCTACATGGAAGGCTGAAAACTGAGGATTATGGATCAAAACCTGCCTGAGAAGGAAAATCTATGAATCATTTAACTCTAATTAGCCACAAAAAAGCTGGAAGTGAAGACCAGGTTCAAAAGGTAGAGAGAGTTAGCCTTGAGGGTAGAAAAAAATAAGGGACAGTGCCAAGGTTCCTAGGGAAAGTCCTTGTATCAACAAGATAGAGAGAGAAAGAGAGAGAGAGATACATAGATACAAAGATACATAGATAGTTTGATTGATAGATACGCAGATAGATAGATCAATAGATAGATAGACAGACAGATAGATAGATTTACACATACATACATACATAGACACAAAAACTGAGCAAAGAATGTATGAAGAATATATGAAGTATATTTTGTTGAATAGCCTGGCGAAAGCATTTACAAGCTGATTTTTCAATAAACAAGCCATTCATATTATTCATAACACTCAATAATGTAGTGTTGTGTCTAGAAATTGCCCTAATTGATTTTTACCACATTTATTTATATGCCTTTTAATTCACCTTTAGGGTGTAGTATTGTGAAGGAGGGTGTATATGGATTGTTATGGTGAAAGATAGAGGATTTCTCAACTGGGATCTACCAGAACAAAAAAAAAAAAGCTTTTAAAAACTATCTGCCCTATTACTTTGCCAAAGTTTTCAATCAGCTCAAATAACTTTTGAGTGGAGTCCATGGGGTTCTTTAAACACAAGATCATGTCATCTGCAAAGATGGAGAGTTTTCCTTCCTCTTTCCCAATTTGGATCCCTTTTATGTTTGCATCTTGTCTTTTTGCCCTAGCTAGGCATTCTAATACTAGGTTGAAGAGTGGACATCCTTATCTCCTTCTGGAATTTAGAGGAAATGGCTTTAACTTTTTGCCACTAAGTAAAATGCTAGCTGTAGGCTTGTCATACACTGCCTTTACTATATTGAGGAATGTTCCATGGATTCCTAGTTTTTCCAGAGCTTTCATCATAAAGGGGTGTTTGATCTTGTCAAATGCTTTTTCTGAATCTGTTGAGATAATCTTTCCTGTATGCCAATAACAAGAAGAGAGCAGCTGAAATTAGGAAAGCAATCCCTTTTGTAATAGCCCTACAAAAAGTAAAATACTTAGGAGTTAACTTAACAAAAGAGGTAAAGGACCTCTATGATGAAAAACTTTAAAAACCTTAAAAAGGAAATTAAAGCAGAACTAAGCAAGTGGAAAAACCTCCCATGCTCCTGGATTGGAAGGATCAACATCGTGAAAATGGCAATACTGCCAAAGGCTATCTACAAATTTAATGTGATACCTATCAATAGCCCAACCCATTCTTCAATGAAATAGAAGAAGTAATCCAAAAATTCATATGGAACAATAAAAGATCCCAAATAGCAAAAAGAATCCTTAGTAGAAAGAATAGTGCTGGAGAAATATCAATACCAAATTTCAAACTCTACTATAAAGCCATAGTAATCAAAACAGCTTGGTACTGGCACAAGAACAGAGCTCAGGACCAATGGAAAAGAACTGAAAACCCAGAAATGAACCCACAGATTTATTTATTTTCTTTTTTAAATTTTACTGTGAAGGTGATGTACAGTTCCAGGTAATGAGTACATTTCTTTTTGAACAGTGTCGACCTTCCCTCATTTTCTCCCTGTTTTTTCTCCCCACTTGCCCCCAAGTTATATAGTTCATCTCCAACATAATGTCTAGTGATTATCACTGCTGAATTAGATTACCATTTCTGTGCTTCCCCTTCCCCTCCTCAAATCAGATAAACCTAAATATGAGTCAAAAGGTTCAGAAATAGTGTTCGCTTCAGTAGCACATACACTAAAATTGTAACAATACAGAGAAGATTAACATTGCCCCTGCGCAAGGATGACATGCAAATTCGTGAAGCATTCCATATTTTTAAAAAGTACAAAAATAATTTAAAAACAGTGGCAAAAGGAAACAAATAAGAATAACTTCAAACAGTATAATAAAAACCTAATTTCCATTGCTTGGAGTTCATGTCCATAAGCACCACTTTATATGATTATTTGCACATTGCTATTGACCCCTTGTGATCCTCTCTAAGAATATCCTCCTTTGAGGAAAGCAACTCCTTTTGTAATAGTCCCCTGAAAAATAAAATACGAGGACTTAACTAAAGAAGTGAAGTAATTAACTAAAGAAACTTTAAAAACCTGAAAAAGAAAATTCAAGCAGCTAAGGAAATAGAAAAATCTCACATGCTCCTGGATTGTGATCATGAAAATGGCAATACTGCTATCTACATATTCAATGCAATACCCATCAATATTCCAGTTTCATTTTTCAATGAAATAGAAGAAGTAATCCAAAATTTTATATGGAACAATAAAAGACCCTGAATAGCAAAAACAATCCTGAGTAGAAAGAACAGTGCTGGAGGAATATCAATATCAAACTTCAAACTCTACTATAAAACCATAGTAATCAAAACAGCTTGGTACTGGTACAAGAACAGACCTGAGGACCAATGGAATAGAACTGAAGACCCAGAAATGAACCTGCAGATCTATAGCCACCTAATCTTTGATAAGGGATTTAAAAAATTAGAACAGAAAACAGCCTCTTAGCAAATGGTGCTGGAAAAATTGGTTAAACACCTGTAGAAAACTAAAGTTAGATCCTTATATATCACCCTGCACCAGAATCAACTCCAAATGGATCAAAGACATCTAAGTAAAGGCAGTTACCTTGAAAACATTACAAGAAGGAGTAGGAGAAGCTCTAGGGCTCTTAGTACAGGCTGAAAATTTCCTAATAAAGACCTAGAAACACAACAAATCAAAGAAAGGTTGGACAAATGGGATTGCATGAAACTGCAGAGCTTCTGCATGGCAAAGGACATAGCTAGCAAGATTAATAGAAAGATCACAGATTGGGAGAAGAAATTCATTAACCATACAACAGTCTAAAGTATACTTACAACTCAAAAAAAAAAAAATAAATCCCCCAACAACAAATCCTCAAATAAGTAACTGCCCCATTAATAAGTAGGCTAAAGGCTTAAAGAGAGACTTCACTGAAGAAGAAATAAGAATGGACAATAGACACATGAAAAAAATGCTCAAATTCTTTGGCCATAAAAGAAATGCAAATCAAAACATTGAGATTCCACCTTACTCCAGTTTGAATGGCTGTAATCAAGAAATCTAATAACAACAAATGCTAGAGGGGATGTAGCCAAAAGGGAACCCTACTGCACTGTTGGTGGGAGTGTAAACTTGTTCAATCACTTTGGATAGCAATATGGAGGTTTCTCAGAAGACTCCACATAGAGCTCCACTAAGACCCAGCAGTCCCACTTCTGGGCATTTACCCAAATGATCACAAATAAGACCATACTAAAACTACCAGCACAACTATGTTTATCACAGTATTATTCACCATAGCTAAGATATGAAACAAACCCAGATGCCCCTCAGTAGATGAATGGATAAAAAATGTGATTATATATATTTATAGATAGAGATAGATAGATAGATACATACATACATACATACATGAATTCTATGCTTCCATCAGAAAGAATGACACCATCTCATTTGTTAGGAAATGGAAAGGGTTGGGGAAAAAATCATATTAAGTGAAGTAAGCAAGACCCAAAGAAACATAGGTCCCATGGTTTCCCTTATTTGAAATAATTAGTATACATCTAGGATAATCTTATCAGACGAGCAGAAAAGCTCAAATGCTAGGAATATATGACCATATAAGATAATGTTAAGCAAAATGAATCCCAAGATATGGACACAATAGGTTTTTCTTTGTTGTTGTTGTTTTAATGTACTATGTGATTTTTTTTGTTTCTTTTGTATGTTCTTCCCCTTATGGTATATCCCCTGTTGTCACCATATTTGATTTTGTTACTCTGAATCTTTTTTTGGGGGGAGGTCTGGTTGTGGGGCTTGAACTCTGGGCCTGGGCGCTGTCCCTCAGCTCTTCAGCTCAAGGCTAGCACTCTACCACTTGAGCCACAGCGCCACTTCTGGCTTTTTTTCTTTTTTGCTTATGTGGAATTGAACCCAGGGCCTCAGGCATGCAAGGCAAGCACTCTACCACTGAGCCACCTTCCCAGCCCATCCCCTGAATCTTGTATATACATTTATCTAATTTGGGGATGGGAAGAGGAATACAAAATGTTGAAATAGGGACACAGGGTGCCCCATTGCAGCAATTAGACTCACAAGACACTATGTTGGAAATGAACTTTACAACTTGGTGGGGGGAAGGAGTGAGGGAGATGGGGGAGGAAAGCAATAGTAGGAGAAAAACCAAGGAGGGTATAACAATGTTCGATGAGAAATGTACTCATTACCTTACTCATGTAACTGAAACCCTCCCTGTACAGCATCTTTACAATAAAATAAATTAAAAAAGAATATCCTCCTTTGTTCTCATGATGTGAATGTTTAGAGTGCTCTGTAATTATTCATGTCCAAGTGTAGTTTGTATTTTACCTTTCATTGCATTTGCTTGTAGATTTATAAGCACATTCTTATTATTACAAATGAAGGTAACCATTCAGCCTATGTTTCTTTGGGTCTAGTTTACTTGGCTTAATACAATTTTTCCAATTGTTTCCATTTCCACACAAATATGGCAAAGGATATAGCCAAAATAAGTAGAAAGCTCACAGAATAGGAGAAGATCTTTGCTATTATGCATCAGACAAGGTCCTCTTGTCTAAGTAAAGGTCAATAAATTAACCCTCCTCAAAAACAAATCTCAAAGAAACAACAACCCCATTAATAAGTGGGCTAACAACTTAAATAGAGACTTCTCAGAAGAAGAAATAAGAATGGCCAATAGACATATGAAGAAATGTTCAACATTTCTGGCCATAAAAGAAATGCAAATCAAAACAGCATTCAGATTCCACCCCAGATAGTGTGGCCATTAATAAGAAAAACAATAATAGCAGATGCTGGTAGGAATGTGTCCAAAATAGAATCCTACTACACTGTTGGTGGGAATATAAACTTGTTCAGCCACTCTGGAAAGCAGTATGGAGGTTTCCCCAAAGACTAAACATAGAGCTTCCCTATGACCCAGCAATCATACTCCCGGGCATTTACCCAAATGACCACAAACAGGACTGTACCAAAGCCTCTAGTACAACCATGTTCATTGAAACATTATTTACCATAGCCAAGATATGTAATCAACCAAGATGCCCCTCAGCGGCTGTAGTTATTTCTGAGTTCTAATACTTCTATTCTTTGCACCATTCTACTTCATAGTCTCTATGATGATCAATTTTATTTCAATACATTCTTTCATTTTATTCTTTTTAGTTATTTTATTCTTGTATTGTGTATCAATACTTTCTTTTATTTTAGATGCTATTGTCTTTCTGTCAGGATTTTACCTCATCTCCTCATCATTTCCCTAATGGTTTTGCTTCATTACTTCCATCATGACACCATTGGCTGTTATATTGCCTTCACCTTTTGACTGAGTGGAGAAAATTGGGACTTGTCAAAAATAATTTTTGCTTAACAGATTAAAAAGATTATGAGAGTGCCATTCCTTATATAACAACAAGAGGAGAAGAAATAGAATTCACAGGCAACCTTTATTCTAAGAGATGGTAAGACATGTGAGAAGGTATAAGATAATGTCGAATGAACTTTGGTAAAATATGGGAGGAAAAAGCAAGTCTTAAGAAATGACTAAAATTTGGAAAAATCAACTAGGAACTATAGGACAGTTTAGAATTCTGGAGGATGTTACTCTTAAGCACAGGAAAAAAAATTCACAAAACTACTGATCAATTTTTATTTTTCTGCAGCTATCTACTGGGTACACAAAGGAAAGAACAGGATGCGAAAGAAAGAAGATGACTTGGCCTGCCAGAAGCCCAGAGGTGAAGCAGTAGTATCAGAACATGCATATGTGCTCTTGGCTATTAACACATTTTGTGTTAAGAGGAGTTGATGAAGGACATGCACAAAATTTGCTCAGATCGCAACTCTTCTGTTATAAAGAAAACAGATCAGCTGCTGGGAAATGAGAATAAAAAATTGAAGTCCTTGTCATGTTTGGTGCTTTCTATCTTTTACCTTGTCCCTGTCATGTTTGGTATTTTCTATCTTTCTTGTAGGAAAAACAATTAAAAACTAAATAAGGGGCTGGGAATGTGAATTAGTGGTAGAGTTCTTGCCTAGCACGCAAGAAGCCCTGGATTCAATTGCCCAGTACGACATAAACAGAAAAATCAAGAAGTGATGCTGTGGCTCAAGTGGTAGGTAGAGACGTTAGCACAGAGATGCTTAGTGACAGTGCCCAGACTGGCAAAAAAAAAAAAAAAAAAGCCTAAAGAAGATCATTTTGCCCATTGGACAGTTTCTCCCAATAGATTACTTTACCTAAAGGCACAACTACAGAATTCTTTATGTTGTTCCTGAGTTCTTATTGTCATTGTTAGGATGATTGTGATAGTTTGCATTTGATAAAGTTTATCTCAGCCTGCTTTCTTCCCCTTTTGTTAAAAATACATGCAGAAATCTGGTCTTTACACTTCCTGGGGCCATATGCCACCCAAGTTACATTTATAAAAAAGAAAAATACTGTATAATAATTTTACAAGTGAAATTCACAATATAATATTCACTAAGGATGTTTTGTATATTAGTGATATTTTCTGTAAGTTTCTTTCCTTTAAAGAAAATATGGAATCATTTGCATTTAAATGATGCCTTTAACATCAAAGTCATGTATTTTTTCAGTTTTATTTACTTACATTAATATTGATAGTTAAATGTTTGTATTAACACAAATTATACAAAATATTGGGTTCAATTAGGATATTATCAAACATATATAATTTCATCATATCAGTTTTCTCTTTCTCCCCTCTAATACGTAGAACACTTCCTCT